TGCTTAAAAGAGGAAAAGAAGTCTTGATAATAGATGGTGGTTGGTGGAAGAAGAATATGTATTCACTCTTTGGAAGTTGAATTCTTCATGATTTTTTTAAGATTTTTCAGTCTTTGATAGTCCAACTACAAAATGGGCGAAAGATACGGAAAAACATTTCACAGATGACATTCAGATGGCCAACATACACACGAAGAAATGCTCCAAATCACCAGCAATAAGAGAGATGCATATCAAAACCACAATGAGATACCACCCCAATCCAGTATCAGTGGCAAGTTCAGCAGGGCAGTAAGTAATAAATGCTGGAGAGGATGTGGTGAGATAGGAACTCCTGTACACTGTTGGTAGGATTGCAAAATGGTATAACCATTCTGGAAGGATATTTGGCACTTCCTCAAGAAACTGAACACAAAAATTCCACAGGACCAAACCATTCCACTGGTTGGAATATACTCTGTGAAAATGAGAGCTGAGGCACAAACAGAGACTTGTATACTAATGTTCATAGCAGCATTATTCACCATAACAAGAACATGGAAACAGCCCAAATATCCAACCACAATGGAACAAATTGGGAGAATATGGTACTTTCAAACAATGGAATGCCACACAGCACACAGGAACAATGATTTTATAAGTTATTACCTAACATGATGTAATCAAGCTGATTTCTATGTATATACCACCAGGTGAAATCCATGTGTATATCCTGTGTTTATGTTTCTCTCTTTTTTTTTTCAAAGAAATGAATTTCTTTTCCCTTGTGTTCTCTGCTAGAATTCAGTATTTACATTTTTTAGTTTAGCATATATTCACATATTTTTCTCCTTTTTATTGAGATTTTAATGAAAGTTTATAGAGAACTTGGATTTCCATTCATTCATTCTTTCACATTTTCCTCCTTGCCCCCCCCCATCCCCCAGTTCACTTTTTTCTTTGGGGAAAAAATTCTTTCATTGTTAAACAATTCCTCTCCCTCCTCCACCTACCCAGACCACTTTACTATGCAGCTCTTATTCTGGACTCTTGTCATGCCAATAATACCTAATTATAAATCCCTTTTATATAGTTCTCTCCCTTATCTGTTTCAATGCCATATACATTATTTATCTCCTCCTTTCTTAGTTTCCCAACCCCATTGCAGTATTATTTTATAACAGTGACATTATGCAATATTTGTCTTTTTGTGACTGAGATATTTCACTCAGCATAATGTCCTCCATAGTTACGTATTCTGTATAATATTTCATGAGTTCTGTGTTTTTCAGTGCTGCATAATATTCCATTGTGTGAACATACCACAGCTGCTCCATCCATTCATTTGTTGATGGGCAGTTGTGTTGGTTCCAACTCTGCCATTGTGAACAAAGTAGCAATAAACCTGAGCATGCATATATCTGCTTGGGTGTCAGTTCTGGTTTCTTTAGGGTATATTCCTAGTAGTGGAACTTCTGGGTCAAGTGGTATCTCTATTTCCAATTCCCTGAGAAAGCACCACATTGCCTTCCATAAGTGGTTGCACCATTTTACACTCCCACCAATAGTGAACAAGGGTTGTAGTTTCTCCAGAACCTCGCCAGCACTTGTTTGCTGCTCTGTTGAATTTTGCCATTCTGACTGGGGTGAGGTGATATCTCACAGTTGTCCTGATTTGCATCTTTCCTCGAACCAGGGACTCTGAGCACTTCCGCACGTGTCTGTTTGCCATCCAAATGTCTTCTTTGGTGAAGTATCCTGTGCTCATTCTGCAGTTGGGTTGTTTACCTTTACTTGTGTGGGGCTCGAGTGTTCTATTAATTCTAGATATAAGTCCCTTATCTGACATGTCATTACCAAATATTTTTTCCCAGTCTGTAGCTTCCCTTTTTACTCTGTTGGAGAACTTTTTGGATGTGCATAGGGATTTGATTCTTAGAAGATCCCATTCATCTATTTTACCCTCTCCTGGTTGTGGGTTTTTCAGGATGCTTGGAAGACTGTTCATGTTGTGGATTAGTGATTCTAGCTTTTCTCTAATGAAGTGTTATAGTCCGTGGTTTTAGTTGTAGGTCCTTGATCCACTTTGAGTTGGTTCTTGTGTATGGCGTGAGGTATGGGTCTTATTTGAGTTTTCTGCAGATGGTTTTCCAATTTTGCCAACACCATTTGTTAAAAAGGCTGTCGTTTCCCCACTTAACTGATTTCATCTCCTTGTAAAAAATCAGTTGGCCATAGGTAGATGGGCTAATTTCTGGGTTCTCAATTCTATTCCGTTGATCTGTGTGTCTGTCATTGTACCAGACTACTCTGTCTTGACCACCACAGCAGTGTAGTAGAATTTGAAATCAGAGAGTGAGATGCCTCCTACCTTGTTTCTGTTTTAAAGGAGTGTTTTGCTTATTTGGGGTCTTTTTCAATTCCAAATGAAATTGGAGATTGCCTTTTCCATCTCATTGAAGAAAAATCTTGGAACATTTAAGGATTAACTTTAGTAGAAAGAGTACCTTTCAAAACTAAGGCAGCCTCCTCCTAAGTGGAGCACACTCTTCAGACCTTTGTATATACATTCCTGGTTGGCCACCAGTTTGTCCAAACCTTTGCTCTCTCAACATTTTCCTTTTGAAATGCCTTCATGGTTTTCTTTGTGGGACAGGAGGCCAATAAAGGGGCTCACTGGAGTCTTTATGTTCTTTATGAGGTTAATTAGGGCTTATCCCTTTGTCTCTTGGGGTCAGGTGCTGATTTTCTAGCAGTCGTATTCTAGCTGCAAACCACTATAGCCAAATGTATCATGATCAGTTCTCTGGATTTCTGGTTGTTTGCTTCCACTTTTACTTACACTGACCCAATACATACAGTGTACACAGAGAAATCTTTCCATTAAGATCCTCTGGAGAACCATTCCCTGCTGGAGATTCAGGTTCTTTGTTGCATTCATTTTTTTCAATTGTTGTTATAAAATTATCACAAACTCAATGCCTTAAAACAACACAAATTATATTCTTGTGGTTTACAAGTCCCATATCAGCCACATTGTACTAAAATCAAGGTGTCAGTGGAGATTCATTCTTCTCTGGAACTCGAGGGTAAATGATATTCATTGCTTTTCCTGCTTTTTAGAGGTTGGCTGCATTCCTTGGACTATGGATTATTCTTCCATCTTCAAAACCAGTAATTGTATCATTCAGACCTCTGCTTCTATCCTTTTTGATTCTACTCACTTCCATTTTAGAAGTATGATCATAAAAATCCTTGTGATTGCCGTTGGCACACTTGAGTAATTCAAGACTATCTTCATATTTAAGATCCTTAATCACATTTATAAATCCTTTGGCAAAGTGCACTTTCCAGGGATTCGTACATGGAATTATTTGGTAGTCCATTGTTCTGTCTACCAAACCATACCTTTCAGAATGTAGTGTCTCTCTCTCTCTCTGCTGTTGAGATGGAACCAACTCATAACTGACCCTATAGGGTTTCCAAAGCTGTGAATTGCACTGGATTGTCTATCTTTCTTTCAAGGAATTGCTGGTAGATTCAAAGAGAGATGTGGCCTTTCTGTTAGAAGCCCACCTCCTTGGTGACTACATCACTAGAGCTCCCTCATGTTAAATATGTTGTTGTTGATTGCTATTAAGGCAAACATGACTCATAGCAATTCTATGAACAAAAGACCTAATGCCTTTCTATAATTACTGTCATTTCTCCAAGTTCATAGAGTTTCCATAGGCATGTGGTTTAGGAAGTGGATGCCACTCCTGCTTCCAAACCTGCTTTATAACTGGGAGCTCTACCTAACACTATCTACATGGGGAAACCATTATGACATTTGATACCCCAATGGCACAAGATTCAGCATCACAGCAAACCAGATTACCTCAGTACAGCAAATTGACAAAGAGTGATGTACAAAGTAGAAGAATTTTCTCCAAAATATAACACTAGTTTCACTTAGCAGTGGTTAAGTAGGTTGTGGTTGTTGTTATGTGCTGTCAAGTCATGAAGAGGGAGAAAAAAGAAGCTGTTCAGTCTTTTAAATGTGACTTTCTAATTCCTTTTTTACTTTCTAATTTTTTGAAATAATAATTATTCTCCATTACTTGAAAAGGATGCCTTCATAATAAGGCTACTCTACTCCTCTGGAGTTCTGAGGCAGTACTTAACTTACTCATCTAGTTTTCTTAATTTCTCTGGCCAGCTCCTCAGTGATATGCCCCCAACATGCCTGTGACTAAACTCCACTGTCCTCTTCTAATCTTCTGCTCTGACCATATACACTTACTTCCATTTCTGCAACCTTTGCTCCTTACTTTCTCTAGTCTTGGTCTACTAAGTTGGTTCCTCTGCGTGGAATTTCCCTCATCTTTTCACTTAGCTAATTCCTACTCATTTTCCAGCTACAGTTTAAATCTCATTTTCAACAAACACACCTACACCTAGCATCTTTGCTCAAACTTCATTAAGGACTCTCTCTCTCTTAAAATCTTTTTCTTGTTGTGTACCATCGATTCAGATCTGACTGGTCCAACTGGCACTGGAGGAGATTGCCTCCCCTTCTACAGCAGAGCACCTGGCGGATGCAAACCGAGTGTCTTTGGGATTGCAGGGCAGCTTCTTGCCCCAAGGCCACCAGAGCTCCCTAAGAACTCTCATAGCGTCTTCCATTGTCTTTAGCTTTGCACATAACACCTTTTATATTATTGTTTAATTATTTTCTCTTCCAAACTGGAAGCTATTTGAGAATAGAGAGGAAAATGGAAACTCCATACTTTTCACATATAGTGGGTTTCTTACCTACTTGTTATGCAAATTTGTAAAAGATGCCAATTTAATAAAAGATTAATTATTTTACTCTCCAGGCCTCATCTTAAAAATATTTGTTCACCACACACTCAACAAATAGTAATTAAGCACTATTGAGCAAATATAATTAAGGAAAAAATTATCTAAACATTATGAAGATGCTAAGATTCTAAGTGAGCATAGGCATGAATACTAATTCTTTCCTCTCCAGGAAGATGGACTTAGAGATTAGTGAGCCAGGAGACTTTAGCTCTGGAGACCATCTATACCTGGTGCAGAAAGCAGCAGACCGTGTAAACGTCGAGTCCCAAGCTGATCAACTTCCCAAATCTTCTCCTGACCCAAAAAAACATACTGAGAATCCTGAACCAATGGCTGGGGAGCGATCAAAGGACTACGTGGTCCAAATTTCAGAGGACAGCACAACAGAGGACAGCAGTACACCACCACCCAACCCATTCTCAGATAAATCTATCCGCAGAGGTAAGAGTTTAAAATGATAACAATAGGCGAGCTCTGGTGGCCTAGTGGCAGGAAACTGCACTGCAATTCCAGAGATGCGCGGTTCAAATCCATCAGATGCTCTGCTGAAGAAGGTAGAACAATCGCCTCCTGTACCAGTCAGATCCAATTTGACGGTACATACATTTAAAAAAAAAAAAGGACAACAATAAAAATTCTTTTTAAAAGAGAAAAGCAAATGATGTCTTAAAAAGTTTTCATAGAGCGAACTACTGGGTTTAATTTTGCTTTTTCCTTGTCTTGCTTTAAGGAGCCCTGGTGGAACAATGGTTAAAAAACTGCACTATTAACTGAGAAGCTGATGTTTAGAACTCCTCAGATGCTACATGGGGGAAAGATGTGGCAATCATCTTCTGTAGGATGTACACCTTGGAAAAGTCTAGGGGGTGTTTTGACTCAAAGGAACTGGATGGATTTAGTCATGTTTTACCATGAAACATATAAACTACTATAGTAGACTTCTTCCAATTATCACAGGCCTTCAAAACCTCATACTAAATGCATTTTGTTAGATACTTTTTAGTATTCTTGGAAGACAGAATTTAGTCATTGGTAGTAGAATGTCTACTGTTACATACAACATAATGCCATAATGTGGTTTTAAACCATATTCTGTAAAAGTTAAGAAATAAATTCAACTGTGAATATTAGAAACCTAAAAAGCTGTGCTTAAATAAATGAGAAGTTTTGGGGGTTTTCCCCACCATGAAATATGACATTTGAAGATAGCTGGTCCAAGGCTAATGATGCTGGTCCCTGTTGTCCACAGGGGCCCAGGTTCTTTTCCCTCTGATTTCTTTGGCCCTCTTAGCGTCTGGACACCTTGAAGGAAGACTGTGGATTTTGAATCCCCATTGTTGTCCCTGTGTCCCACCATCCAGCCTGTGACTGCAACTCCAGCTTCCTAGGTAGGAAGGAGGTAAAAGGCAAACACTCAAAAGCAACGAAAGGTCAAAGCAGAACACTAGAACACCGTTGGCATCATTCACGAATTGGGCCTAAGAGTAGACCCACTTGGAGCCTTTTTCAGAAACTTTCTCAGAAAACCCACAAAATAGTCTCCAACTGTATGTCACTGGCCCTCCACATATGATGTGGCTACCTCTGTCTGTAATGTTTGAGTTGGGCCCATTCTCATCGTTATCTTAAATGTGATAGTGAGGGAGTTGGGGAGAATGGCTATTAGGAAGCAATTTGCAGCCTCTGCCACAGGGAAATGGTATTGTTTTTTTGTTCTTATAGCAACTCCATAAGTACTATTATTACCATTTCATAGACGAGAAAAAGAGGTTTAATGTGGAATTGGAATCAATGTTATAACACACGTGCACACACGGTCTCGTAATATTTACTCACTCACTGCTATGGAGTTGGAACTGGGTTTTTATTTTCAAAGGCTAGAGTAATTATTTGCATCTGCCTCTTCTGTAGGGAAGAGTCTACCTCCTCCCCTATAAATCATATAGTACATGAGAAGATTAAAATGTTATGGAAAAAAGGGAGAAGTAGAGCAGGACAATGGCATGAGAAGAGTTACGGAGGTGGTAGGGGATGTAAGGTTTTAAAAAGATTTTTTTTAGATATAATTTGTTGTCATCAGTAGCTATAGCAAGCCATTTTGGACTCATAGTAATGTCATGGTATAGTTTACATGTCATAAAACTCACCCACTTATGTGTACAATTCAGTGGCTTTTAGTTTATTTCCAGAGTTGTTCAGCTTTCACCACAATCTACTTTTATTATCCTTTCACCACCTGCAGGAGTGAAAATCCTGTACCCACTTCACCATGCCCACCAGCACTCACGCTCCCATTGCCCTCACCATAAATCTACTTTCTATGAATTTACCTGTTTTGGACATTTCATATAAATAGAATTCTATAATAAGTGCTCTTTTGTGATTAGCTTCTTTCACACAGTGTAGTGTTTTCAAGGCTTATGCATGTATTGTAGGATGATATATCATTGGTCAGATGAGAAAAATATTCTTTTTTATGAAGCATAAACATGCTTTATTACTAAATCTAAAGGTTTCTTGGACTCAAAAAGTTGATTACATTTATATTTTTACTTTTAAATATTCGTGTTATAAAAATAAGAATATTTCTGTCTCCTCAGCTTTCCTTAGGAAAGTGTTCCTCCTGCTGACTGGGCAGTTGCTTATCACCGGGGCAATTATCAGTGTGTTTATTTTTTGGTAAGTTTTTATTACTGATGAAATATTAGATTGTTCATAAAATTATTAATCAGTTTTAGTTTAGATATTAAAAACTATTTCTTTTTTTCTTAGTCATTAATAGCTGTTGTCTTTATATACCCTTTTGTTGGTTCCAATTCCCAGTGACCCTGAGAACAGTAAAACGAAGCCCTGCCTGATCCTGCGCCATCCTCAGGCTCGGCTCTGCTAAAACCTATGGTTGCAGGCACTGGGTCAGTCCCACTTGCCGTTCATTCAGAAGTGACAGAATGTCTGTGGAAGTTCCTTGGTGGCACAAGCAACTTAGCCTAAGGCAGTTTGAACCTACTCAGAGCTTCTTTGGAGGACAAGCTTATTAATCTTTTTCAGAGGGGTCACGGCTTTTCAAAGGAAACCTGTGACACAGTCCAACTATGCTCACAAAGGGGCCTCATGAATCAGAAGCAATTGGACTGCAACTATCAACAACATAAGTAGTATTTCTATGGCTTTCTTTTACTTTTTTTTCCCCTTATTTTTTAAAATTTTTTGTGGGGGGGGCTTTATTTTTCTGGGACAGATCCTACACCAAGTGTTGGTTTATTCTATTTTATTCTTTCAAGGCGACGAACTTTTTATTTCACTCTTATTTGGGGCATTGTTTTTTGTTTGCTGTTCAAGAGACTTTTTTTTCAGATTGGAAAAAAATACACACATTATTATTTTTTTTTATTACAATACATGATGTCCTGTTGTTGTTGCTGTTGTTGATTACTGTCCAGTCAAGCCCAACTCATAGCGACTCTATGAACTAAAGGACTGAAGCCGACTTATAACTATCATCATTTCTCAAAGTTCATAAAGTTTCCAGAGGCATAGCATTATTGTTTAGGAAGTGGATACCACTCCTGCTTTCAAACATCTGTGTCCTAACTTAGACCAACTGAGTATCATTTTACTTACACATTTTTTTAGTTTCCATTCATTCATTGTTGCACTTTTCTCCCTGCCCACCCCTAAGCTCCGAAGAGTTTCTTAAATCCTATGAACCATCAGAGTTAAAATCCATTCTATGAAGATCTGTTTTTACAAAATAAATATGTAAGAAGTTGTTATTTTTATTTGTACACACATCAGTCTCAGCAATTTTTATAATAAAAACCTTCATTAGGATATTTGCAGAATCTGAATTTGCTTTATAACTTATTATAAACCTAATTTTTGAAATAAATCTATTTAAAACAGAAATATGGAAACATTTCAATCCACATTTATCACTGGTAACCAGTTTTTTAAAAAAAATTATTTCTTAGTGCAACAATGAATGAATGGAAATCCAAAGTCCCTGTAAATTTTTACTGAAATTAATAATAAATTTAAAGAAAATAAGATAAAAATATTTCTTTTATTCTTAATTTCTTAAGTTATGATTTTTTTAAAGTTTACAGAAAAGTTGATTTTTCATTAATTAATGGTTATACCTATTTTCCTCCATAACCCCTAGTTCACTTTTTTAAAAAAATAATATTCATTCATTGTTGCATAACTTCTTCCTTTAGTCTCCAGGCCCTCCCTTAGTTCACTTGTCTATGCACCTCTTATTCTGGACTATTGCCATACAAATAATCCCTGATCATATCTTCCTTTTAAACAGTTCTTTCCTTCAACTGTTCCAATGCAGTGTTCATCATTTATCCCCTCTTTTGTTAGTTAGCCCTCAACCACCATGTCAGTTCTATTTTATAACAGTGATATTGTACAATATTTGTCCTTTTTGTGACTGAGATATTTCACTCAGCATAATGTCCTCTAGGATCACCCATGTTGTATAATATTTTATGAGTTCCTTCTTTTTCATTGTTGCGTAGTATTCTGTTGTGTAAAAATACCAGTTTTTCTGTCCATTGATTCGTTGATGGACATTTGGGTTGCTTGCTTCCATATCTTTGGTATTGTGAATAATATAGCAATAAATATGAGTATATACACATCTAGTTGGGTGGCAGTTCTGGTTTCTTTAGGGTATATTCCTAGTGGCATTGCTGAATCAAATGGTATTTCTATTTCCAACTGTCTGAGAAAGTGCCAGACCACCTTAAATAGTGGTTGTACCATGGTAACCAGTTTTAAGGTATTCCTCTTTCTTCTTATGATATTGTTTTTCTTATATTTAAATATTACACTAGTTGTATTTCTTGTTTAGAAATATATATACAATTTTTTTTAAACCAGGCAAGCTTTAAGAGTGTGGATACTCCTGCATCCCTGGTTCAACTATGCACTTTTGTAAGTATCATTGCAATTAATTTAAAGAAATTCTACTAGTAGCTTGATTGAATGGTTCTTTTATTCTAAAAATCTAAGAAAGGTGTAGCATTCCTGAAATGAAAACATAATGGATATACAAAACAAAATAATGTTTGCCAGGTGTTATATGTGTGTGTGCATGTGTGTGTTATGAATGAGTAGCATCAAAGGAGATCTTTGTGTGGAATATATCTGAATCTTGACTGCAGCAATGTTACACACACAAAAATCTATACATAGACCTGTGTTATACCAAAGCCAATTTCCAAGTTTTGTACTTGAATAGATATTGTTCTAGAATAAAGGGTAGCTACAGGGAGGAGCTCTGATTGTGCCGTGGTTAAAGTTCCTTACTGTTAACCCAAAGGTGAGCAAATCTTGAGTCAACCTGCTACAGTTGGCTTTCGTAAAGGTAATAGTTTTGAAAACCCCATGGATTGGTTCTACTCTGTCCTGTGAGGTTTCTATTCATTGCAATCAACGTGATGACATTAGGTCTTTTGTTTGGTTTTAACTTTTGATGGAAAACTCAGTGGAGGGCACATGGGACCTCTCAATACTTCCTTTGCAACTTCCTGGGAATGTATAATGATTTCGAAATTAAAAGTTTAGTGGTGTTCTTTTTTTAAAAAAAATTCTAAATGGCAATAACCTGATATAAAAAGCTTGAAAAAGTAGTACTATTTTTGTTAATGGAAATCTGGTGGCCTTATGGTATGGTAAGGAGCTTTGCAGCCAACTTAAAGGCATCTAGTTTTAATTTCTGCAGGAGAAAGATGAGCAGTCTCCTCCAGTGTGATTGAAAGCCTCTGAAAACGCTCTGGAGGGTCAGCTATGAGTAACTTCAATAACATGGCACATAAAAGTTTTGTTTATTTTATAATACTTATTATCGTGTACTAAATGATATAGAACACACATCATATAAATTAAGTAATACAAGATTTTAAATCTCCTTCAGACCAGCATTTTTTGTTGTACTTTTGATCCTGGCTTGCTGTGGGGAGCTCCGTCGTCAAGTGCCTATAAATTACATTCTCCTGGCATTGTTTGTAAGTAAAACTTGTCAACACCTGTTCAGTTGACCCCTGGAATATATTTGTGTCACACTATTAGATTGGTTCTATTTATGGTGAAAATACTTCCTATGGAATAATTCAGACAAGAAATATTTGTAAGATAGTCATTTGACTAAATCTGCTTGTAAAGATGTAACGAACTTGCTTATACGAAGGCCTTCTTAGTAGATTGGAGAGTTTAGGACGCTCAGGTGACTGCTTTATGCTAGAAAACTTGCTTTTTCTGTCAAGGCTGCACAGGGATCCCACTCCCATGTTGGGGCTACATCTCAGGAACAGGGAATCTAGCTGTTGATAAACCTCAATCAGACTTAACAAATTTCTTATTCTCTCCTGTTTTCCCATCATGTATCTCAGTTAAGGAAGACTGTTACAGCCCCCGGGAGTTGGGGACTGGTGGGGGTGAGAGTGGGTGTATGTTTCTCATTTATCTAAACAGTGGTTCCTGGTAGATTGAAGGCTGTATTCACAAAGCCTCACCATGCCTGCCCTGTCCACTTTGTGTCACCCAGTCCTTTATGGACGACAGGAAACGTCAAAGTTCTTGAAGCCTGTTCTTCTCTTGATTGCTCAAGGAGACCGTAGGATCTTGCCAGCTCTTAGCTGGTACAGGGAGCACCCAGATTGTCTGAGATTTTCAGAATTCCATCATTTCCCCTCATCTCAAAGGTTCATCTCCTGGGCTAGTCACAGGATCTTCCTTAAGGACTCCTGGGCATCTTCCTGGTGCTGACTCTCTTCTTCCCACTGCTTTGCATCAAGCCAAACCTTACTTAAGGCAACACTCACTCTCTTAAGGAATTTTACTCCTCTTGGGAAGATCCAGAGCTGTTCCAGGATGATTTATGGTAGTGTCCACAAAGGATTCTGTTAGGGAATGTTTCCATTTCTTCCCAGGAAGTGTTGACCACTTTTTCATGTAAGACATATTTACTTATGAAATTATTTCTTCCTCATCTGGTTCCAAGGCAGATTTGAGGTAATTTACAGAAGAAATATCCTTTATAAAAGAAGATGGAGAAATCTAATGGAAGGAAGAAGAAGGGTGGATTAAGGCATGAAATGCACACAGTGTTGAGATCTCAGACTTGGCTCTAGGTTTTCTAGTGGCTAACTCAAGGAAGGACGCACGAGCAAGGATGGGAATGGTAGTATTCTCACGGTCCAGGGTTCACTGTGGCTTTTATGTTGAGGAGGATAGTTTTCTCTCAAGGTTGGAGGAAATTGGTTCTTTGGTGCCAGTGGGTGAGCCTTTTCTCTCCTGCCAGGGCACTGAGGCATGCTGGGTTGGCTATTGCTCGGGTGAACCACTAAAGAACACACATCTTGTAACAGAGGCCAACAAATGGAAGGAATGATTTTTTTACAGGCACTTTTCAATATTTTAAATGTTTTGATGTTTATTGCAAGAAGGGAATAAAAGCTTTAGAGAGATTTTTGCGCAAAGCAGATAGTAGCTTTCAAGATAGAATTCTTTTTCTTGCTTTGATATTTTTCTTGACAGCATGTGTTTTCAATAACTGGAAGCATTTTGAACAAAATAGGGGAAAATTAAGTAATGTGAGTACAATTAGTGGAATTTTTTTACAAAATGGGTAAATTTTGTTGAGGTTGGTGGGATGAGACTTATTTCTTTAGATTCATGCAGGTCTGTAGGCCCAGACAGCAAAACACACCAAAAATGGGACAACATCTTCCCACCAGATCCCAAGAGTCAGAAAATGTAGGTGGACACTATGTATCCCAGAAGTATGAAGCTAGATTCAATGTGCTCTTCAAGGATGAGAGAGTAAATGGATTAAAAGAGTTCAGAAATTGATTGAAAGAAAATATTTACTGAAGACAGCATATGCCTTGTAAATATCAGGCCCCTTGATCCCATGCTCTGAGCTCATCACGTCATCACGCAGGTTGATTTCTGAGGCATCTTGCGACTCACCTTTCTACTTTTCCAAAATCTGAAAGACACTTTCCAGCTTGAAATTAGCGTTCTTATTCTCTCCTCCTCCTTTCTCTCCGCCCTTCCATACTTGGGGGGGGGGGGCGGGTTGAGGGAGAAGAGGAGAGAATGTGAACGGCACCACTGACTGCTGCTCCATGAGCTACTAAAAAAAAGAGAACTACGAAGCAAATGAGCTAATAGAAGAAGATGAAATGAAATCTTGAGCAGGCACTTTATTAAAGTGTTTCATGTGAGTTGAAAAGATACGAACTTCCTTACAATGGAAATAACTACAGGCTACTTAGCCAAGTTTAACAAAGCAGGGAATTAGGTAGTTGTTGGGTTTACCTAATCCAGAGAAGCAATTCAAGACACCCTGGGATTCTAGCTCTTTCCCAGTCGTTGATCCGGGGCATGGTTGACAGAGTTCAAGCCCCACTAACCGCTCTAGTTATTTTCCCCTGACTTTGCTCATGGATCATCAGATCAGCCATCTCCGGATTTGACCCTGACACTGCGTCTAACCAGCTCGCCCTTTTCTTCAGACCCTGGAGCTGGTGTTCACTGTAGTCCTCCTGAGCTCTGCCTGCTGTGATCATCCTCTGATCCTGACTGTGCCCAGGGCATGTCTTTGTTCCCTTTCTTGCCTTCATCCTCCAGCTCCACTGCCTTCTGATTAGCTCTCAGCCGTGCCTCCCTCACCCTCGCTGTGCTCTGAGTGCACAGTGCCTGATCCCAGCTCCATTTAGGCCAGGGGAGTCGTCCAACCCGCATCCACGTCTTCACACAACCCCCTTCTTAGTCTCCACTTGACAACTACAGGCCCAGGAACTTGCTCTGTGGGCAGTTGCCCTCCTGTTCTACCTCCTGGCACTGAGATGCTCTCAGCTTGCCTCCCATGTCTGAGATCTTTGAAGAATTTTGTTCTCACCTATGCACTATGGAAAGGGCCTGTTCCTTTGTGGATAGCTCTATTTAATGGAAATATGGTTTCTACATTCATAATCAATTCACTGAAAAGCTGAAAGTCACCCTTGTGTTAAGAAAATTGTACTAACGAAATACTTTGTGCTTGTCAATTTGGAGGAAAATGTAGAGAAAAGGTTCGGTTCTGTTTTCCCCCCACAGTTGCCCTGTAGCTTCCTGTACTAGTGCATCCTCCTTGTTGCCCCCTAGCCCCTCACCTCAGGGGTCAGCTACTGATTTACTGAAAATTTTTGTTTTCAGACAATTCTTCAAGGTCTTCTGCTTGGAACTGTATCAGTGTAAGTCTTTGATACAGCTTCTTTTTTTATATATGCTTTTCTTTGCACGTATTTGTACACTAACCTCAACTTCTGCTTTTAGCTTCTACAATGCTGAAGAAGTGTTATGGGCAGTAGGAGCCACTGCTTTGGTGACATTAGCGCTCACTCTGTTTGCTCTACAAACAAAAGTACGTATCATTAAAGCAGACTCCCATAATAAGGTTGGTGCTGAGATAGCTTCCTTTGCTCCCCTCTGCTCTGCTGTTCTGTGGGCCTCACTTTTCATGGTTTTCTCACTCCTGGATTCTCATTGGGTTAAACCATTGAGGGACTCCTATTCAGAGACTGCAGGACAGGAATGCAGTAGGAATATTTATTTCCATAGTGTCCTCCTATGCTAGCTGGGCTCCATTTAAATGAAATTACTGTTTGTCTCAAGACATGCATCAATACATCTCCTTCTGGGTTGGGTAGCCATCTGTACTCCTCCTTGGGTCTCTTGTTGTGTGCCAGCAAACCAATTCTGACTAATAAAGGCTCTAAGGACAGAAAACAATGCTATAGGCTTCCTAACTTGTGATCATCACAGACACTTAGCAATATAAAAAGCAAGGGAGAAAACAATGAAATTGTCAAAATTTCATTTTACTTGACTCCAACAATCAACACTCATGGAAAGAACCGTCAAGAAATCAAATGACATAATGGGATTGGGCAAATCTGCTGCGAAAGATCTAGTTAAAGTTTGTAAAAAACAAAGGTACCACTCTGAGGACTAAAATGGATCTTGCCCAAGGCTGGTATTTGCAATCACTTCCTATGCATCCAAGAGCTGGTAAGTGAAAAAGGAAGGTGGGAAGAGAATGATGTCTTTGAGATAGGATGTTGGTGAAGAGTATTGAATATGCCCAATATGCCCTTGTCTGTAAGGAGAACAAACAAATCTATTTTGGAAGGAGTGTAGCTGCAATGCTCATCAGAAGTAAGAAGCATGCACAAACTTTGGACATGTTATGAGCAGAGGCTCGCCCCCTGGAGAAAGAAGTCATGCTTGGTCAAGTAGAGTCAGCCAGAATGAGGAAGAGCCTCCACAAGGCGGGTTGACACAGCACCTGCAATAATGGACACAGGCACAGGAGAGATGGTGAGGATGGCCTAGGATTTGGCTGCATTTCATTCTATTATACAGAGGATTGTGGACAATTCAGTGTTATCAACAACAATATTACAGATTTAGAAGGAGCTCTGGGTGCAACCACTGTGGAAGGCGGTATGGTGCTTTCTCAAAAAGTTGCAAATAGAGATACCATTTGACCCAGCAAGTCCACTACTGGGAATATACCCCAAAGAGATCATAACTGACACCCAAGCAGATCTATGCACACCCATGTTTATTGCGGCTTTGTTCACAATAGCAAGGAGTTGGAAACAACCTAAGTGCCCATCAACAAACAAATGGAGAGAAGCTGTGGTATATTCACACAATGGAATACTACACTGCATTGAAAAACAAGTAACTCTTGCAATATTATTCAGAATGGGTGACCCTGGAGGACATTATGCTGAGTGAAGTATCTCAGTCACAAAAGGACAAATACTGCCTGGTGCCACTGTTGTAAAACAGGACTGACATCAGGGTTGAGGGGAGACTGAGAAAGATGGGTTCAATAATGTATACTGCATTGAAACAGATAAGGAAGAGAACTGTTTAAAAGAGATAGGTGATTAGGTATTTTTGTCATGACAGAAGTCCAGAGCAAAGGCTGTATAGTGGAGTGGACCTGGGGAGAGGGTTTGTAAAACAATGAAAGAATTTTTCTTTTACTTTTCCAGGAGGGTAGTGTACTAGGGGGGAGGGTTGAGAGGGGAGTAAAGTACAACAAGGAATGAATGGAAATCCGAAGTCTCTGTGAATTTTCATTGAAATTAATAATAAATTTTTAAAAAAGGGAAAAAAAGAAGGAGCTCTGGTGACCCATAAGGTCAGCAATTCAAATCCACCAGCCATTCAGCGGGAGAATGATGAGGCAGTGTTCCCTGTTAAGATTCAGAAACATGTCTCAGAAACATGCTGGAGAGCTACCATTAGTCAGAATCAACCAGATGGCAGGAGTGTCTGGAAGTCACAAAGTAGGAGATTGAAATGCATGCATGGTTTCTACAGAATATTTTATATATGTATATATATGTGTGTGTGTGTATATGTATATGTGTGTATATATATGTGTATGTGTGTGTATATATATGTGTGTGTATATATGTGTATATACGTGTGTATGTGTATATATAAGTGTATATATATATATATGTGTGTGTGTGTGTGTGTATATCTCTGATAGAGCATTTCAAACAGTAAAACATATATCTGTGTAAGAAGAGAGTAGTCTAAATTTCTTGAATGGAATGGAATTAAATATAGAGCAATGTTTTAAAAATATTACTAAAAGCTGTTTTTTTAAAAAAAAAATAAAATAGAGGCAAAATATGTATCAAGAAATAAATTATTGATAATATCATCCTTAAATGCTCTTTCTCAACATTTAGTAGCTTGTCAAAAATTTATAAATGACATTACTTTTACTTCTTGGTAACTTCCCCCTGAACTAGCCAAGGTAAAATTACTAGCAAAACAGCTGGTTTCAAGTAGGCCTCATCCATCCCCAAGGAGAGCTTGATCAAGTGCGAAGAGAATGTCTTTTCAGCCTTAAGAATATTAAACTTTAAAGGGAGCTCTGGTGGCCTAGTGGCAAGAAGCTGTGCTATAATCCTGAAGGTGTGTGGTTCAAATCCACCAGATGCTTCACTGAAGAAGGAGGTGCACTCTCCTCTTGCAGATGCGATTTGATGGTACACACACACACACACACAGAGAGAGAGAGAGAGAGAGAGAGAGAGAGAGAGAGAGAGAGAGAGAGAGAATGTTGAACTTTAAAGCTTTGTCTTTCGTTTTCAAAGTGGCTCAATCTAGTTTGTCCATTTTTTGGTTGATAGAGTTATCTCTTTAGTAGAAAGCTATTGCAGTATGTTAAGGAGTCCTTAAATCTGTTCTGTGAAGGACAAGACACTGAATTTTTCCTACTTCTTTTTATTTTCACCTGTATTTCTATTGCTAAGGATAATTAAGTACAGTGGCTTAACGGAAAACAACAACAAAAAACCCCAACTCCCCAGCTAGTTTCTAGCTAGTGTATAAGATGCATCTCTAAACATCTGCAAATGTCTTACAGGTGGTGAGTTTATTTTTGTTCTCTTTATGTCTCCTCAGTGGGATTTTACCCTGTGTAGTGGAGTGCTCTTTGTCTTTCTCTTCATACTTTTGATCTTTGGAATTCTTATCATTGTCATACGATCATATGTAAGTAAAACCTCATTTGAAAAACTCAAATAATTGTTGGTAATATAGGTGAAATGCTAGTTGTGTAAGTCTAGTCTCCTGAGAAGCAGATAACAATATGGGGCTACACATGAGAGGATCTTATTGGAGAAAAATCTGTGAGAGCAAATGAAGAAGGAGCTGCAGAATATCTGAGATTGCTGTCAGACACCAGGGAGCTCTGGTGGCCTAGTGGTAGGAAACTGCTCTGCAATCCTGAAGATACGTGGTTTGAATCCACCAATGACCTGTTTAAATCTGCCAGCTGCCTTGTGGTAGAAAGATGGGCAATCTCCTCCCATGTGATTAACTGCCTCAGAAAACCCACTGGAAGGTCAGCTAAAGGTAGGTTCTGACTCGAAGATACACAACAATAGGCAATAGGGGAGAGAAGGATGGAAGTTTGAGTGGATGGATTTTAGATGTGGCATAGTCCAAGTCAGCTTCAGCAAGGCCATCAAATAGTCCTTAGCTGAAAGAGCTGTTTTTCAAGAAGCGTCTTAGTACCCTCCACCAAAGACTGAGAAGTAGGAAGTGTGATTTGAGGCAATGGATTTCAGAGCATACCACCTAGAGTCCTGTGTTCATTAAATTCCTAGCAATTGGAGCTTTAGAGGCCTATCCTCTCAGTCTCCAGACTGGTGTTTTTGGGGCAGATACTATGGCTCTTGGGAGTGTATACTGAAGCCATACTCAAGACTACAGAGAACTCTGATGGCATAGTGATAAGAAGCTGCTCTGTAATCCCAAAGTCACTCAGTTTGAATCCACCAGCTGCTCTATCAAAGAGGGACAGTCTGCTCCTGTGAGATTAATAGATTCTGAAAATCATCCATGAAAAATGCAAAAGGTCATTACAAAGGCAGAGGAGGAAGAAAAGATCGAGATGGATGTCAGAAATGACTCTGAATATTACTGCACTTGAATGCCTAGAAGCCAAAACAAATGGGGGGGGGAGTGGAAATTAGGACATTAAGTTGCTGAACAGAAGATTTCAAAGGGCACCTCAGGAAGACAAAGCAAAGTATTATAATAAAAGATGCAAAGTGCTGGAGTCAGAAAATCAAAAGGACTTGGACCTGTGGTGTCTATCTGTGACTGAAACCCTTTTGGAGGTCAGGTCCACTGAAGCTGGCCTGCGTCCATGACCAGCTTGGTCCAAATGCTGAACCAAAAAGATTCTTTAGCAACACCTGGACAAGTGTCCAAGAGTTAACTGTGCCTGACTCAGTGGAATTTAAAAAACGACCATGTAGGCTTCACTGTCATCAAGTCGGAACCACCTCATAGCTAGCAGATTCTCCACTGGATTTCAAAGGCTGTAAATCTTATGAGAGGAGTCTGCCCAGCAAACCCCTGAGACTCTACCTCAGAACTCCTGCATGTTTAGAGACGAGATCAAAGAAATAACAAATGTGTGAGTAAAAGTGTGTAACTCTATTTATTATTATTGATGATAGCTAGGATTGTTGGTAATACTGTAAATATTTATTAGATGAGTTCTATAGATGTTTATAATGTCACTAGGTATACTTACAATACTGTATTTCAATAATAATAATAATAATAATAATAATAAAAAGATACTCTGTTTCCTGCTAAATGTATAAACCTGGAGTCACCAGCTGGCACAAATGATTAGCCACTTTACTGTATCTACAAAAGGTTGGGAGTTGAAAAGCTCACACTCATTGCTGCTGAATTACAACTGACTCGTAGCTCAATCTCTAGTGGGTTTTCAGAAGCTGTAACTTGCATGCTGCTAACTCACCAGCCATGGAGCAGCTGGTGGATTTGAACTGCCTGCCTTTGGGTTGGCAGCGCTACTCCTTACCTCCTAGGCCAGCAGAGCTCCCAGAAATGTGTTGGAAGTTGCTGCTTCTAGGAGGTCATGGCCTTGAAAGCCCTGCACATGTGGTGTTACCATGAACTGACACTCCAGCAGCTAACAGCAGCCCAGTGGCACCAGTGGTGTGAAGATGACAGTCGAGAAAACCCCACAGAGCCGGCCCTCTCTGGAACACATGGGTGACCTGGGTCGGGGCTTCCTTAATGGCTGCTCACAACAGCAGTCCCTGTTCTAAATCTTCTTTTCACAAATACAATCTTCCACATACAGTGAATACTTACATAATTAAATGATGTATAATCTTACACATATTTCAATGGAAGACTGTTACCAGCCTGTGTCCTATGTACACATGCTTGTTTGACCTTGACTCAGTTGAAATTCTTTGGACTCCATTTGTCAGGCAATTCCTTACTATTAGTTCTGACCGTGACCCCCAGACTGTTTCATTGAGCCCCAATTTCCCTTCTTTACCAGACACTTATCCAGATGAGCAGAGCGCTTTGCCTGTTCCTCTTAAGACCAACTTTCTTAACAGAAGAAAATACAACTGTTTTCTTTTCTTTTCCAGTGGCTGCATCTGATATATGCAGGACTTGGAACTGTGGTGTTTTCATTTGTAAGTTTCTCTTTTCCTTTCTGATGAAGAATATGGTGTGTGCATTGACAGTGCTTCCTCTGCCCTTGTGCTAGACTGGAGTCAAGTGGAGTCAGGAATTCACTGCTACGTCCTCCAGGAGAGTTGTTGCTTGCTAAAGGGTCGTATTTAAGACCGACAGCCTATGGAGAGCTGGAGGTGGGATCTGGGCTTGGCATACTTGTCCTCCAGGTGGGATACCTGCTTCAATTCCCAGCCAAGATACCTCAGGTGTAGCCATCTGTCTTTGGAGGCTGGGGTAGTGTTGTGAAGGTTTAAGTGGCATTTCCAGAGCAGGATGGGCAAGGAGCAAGGGCCTGGTGGGGTGTTTCTGAATCCCAATGGTAGCTAATGACTAGGAAAGCGAAACATTTCCCTTAATCCGTATTGTCGATGTTGTTATGTGCCATCATGTTGGAACTGACCCATAGCTGACCCTCCATCAAGTTTTCAGAGGCTGTAAATTGCACAGGAGGAGACTCTTCAGCTGTCTCCTGTGGAGCAGCTGGTGGATTTGAACCACTTGTCTTCGGCTTGGTAGTGCAAGTCCTTACCCACCATGTCTCCCTATATGGTTGATATGCTCACTTAAAGAAATGTTAAAACATCCTCAGAGCTTCCCTCACTTCCACCCCACCAGCAGATATGACAGCTTTAAAAAGCACAACTTTTCTTGAAAGGAATATTTAAGAAGAGAATTGAGAATCATTTGTAAACTTTGAAGTTTATCATCCCTGAGGTGATTTTTCATTTTACTTTTTAAAAGATTGGAGTAAATAGATAAGTAAACAAATATTTTCCATTTCCTGTATTTTATTTACTGTTCACCACCTCCCTGACTTGTAAACCAAGCAAATACTTGAAAATAGGAACTTCTTACAGAGTAAATGCAGAGGTCTTTGCTAATATATTTGAGTCTCTTTTAGTTAATCTAGTCCCATTTCTTTTTTTTTTTAAATTTATTATTTTTGTGTGCATGTACCGTCAAATCAGATCTGACTGGTACAGGAGGAGATTGCCCCTCCTTCCCCGGCAGAGCATCTGGTGGGTGGATTCGAACCGTGCGCCTCTGGGATTGTAGCTGCAGCTCCTTGCCACTAGGTCACCAGAGCTCCCCCTCCAGTCCCATTTCTTATGCCACCTCTTTAAAACAGTTTAAGGAAATTTTCGTTATCAAAGCAATGATAGCCATGTTTTAAAATTAAAATAATGTAGGTTATAAAATGAAAATATCTCCCTCTTACGTCCTTGCCCAGTGTTAACAGTGTCTTATGAATGCTTTCAGAATGTGTGTGTGTGTGTGTGTGTGTGTGTGTGTGTGTGTGTGTGTAAAATGTCATTGTTAGGAGCCATTGAGTTACCTGCGACTCATATGGAAAACAGAGTGAGACTGCCCAGTCCTGCACCATCCGCAAGTGCTGTGCTGAAGCCTGCTTATTGTTGCAGTCAGTCTGCCAGTTGTCTTGTGGAAGATCTTCCTTTCACTAACTCACTTTTCCAGCATGATACCTTTTTCCAGGGACTCCTCCTGATAACTTGTGTGTGTGTGTGTGTGTGTGTGTATCCCCACCCACCCACACACTCACACCCCACCACACACCCCCTTCTCTCTTTCCAGTGTAGTCATACTATAGGAGACTAGTAGTCAAGCACTTGGCTACTAACAAAGCAAAGGTTGGGAGTTCGAACTCACCAGCACGTTTTACTCTCCATGGGTAAAATGATGTGGAATCTCCTTCCTAAAGATTATAGCTTTAGAAACTCTGTGGGGCAATTCCACTCTGTCCTAAAGGGTCATCAGAAGCCATATCTAGTTCACATCAATGGGTTTGGGTTTTAAAGCCATACTTTCAGTAAAATGATCTGCACTTTGCTTTTTCACTTAAAAATCATAAACTCCACATACTGGCAGATACGAGTCTATCGTATTTTTTAAGGGCTCCATGGAAGTCCACTGCATATTTCCATCATGCATATCCATTAAGACTTTTATTTTTTGAAATTATTTTAGACATTTCTAAATATAACTCAGAAATAGAATAGTAATACTGGACTCCAGATATTGCCACAAAGCATTAAAAAAAAAAGTCCAATCCTTGCTTCATCTTCGTGTGTGGTTTTTGTTTTGTTTTTTTAATGGCGGGGGTGGGTTATGTCACATCTTTTGCCATTAGAACACCTTAGACCAGGTAAAGGGTAAGTTCATTTTTTTAAGCTTTCTAAGTTCTTCTCAAATTGTAAGTGGAGCTGATTTCCATGCTTTCTTTTATGCTCTCAAACCTTTGTCTACACAACTGTTGTGTCTATCGTGCCTTGTTTTGAGCCTAGTTTGTTTCCCTGAAAATACATTTTGGAGTTTCTACTTCCAATTTAGGCAGAGCAAAAAAACACTTGTGGGCTCAGGTAGGTCTACTCAAGCAAAAAGTTGGAGAGGGGAATGCAGCTAGAAATTTGTATGCTTTTTGAGTTTTAAATGCTTAACTGCTGGGGTGGTGGGAATGAGGTGTGAAGCGAGTCACCATATGATTCCAGGACCTGAGACTTCCTTGAAAGATGCTTTCGTCACCTCAGGTTCCAAGTAGTCACAATCATTGTTTCATGAGCATCCTAATGTTTGGCAACCATATTTGCTTTCACTGTTCAATCAGCAAGAACCTGAGGAGTAAACACAATCATGAGGCATTTGGGCATTTGTTTTTGTGTTCAGTTTATTTGCCCTAAGTCCATTCACTGACTTAAGATGCTGAATTTTAGTCACTAAAAAAAAAATAAAAGATGCTGGATTTGGGAGTCAGGGAAATTATACAGGCTCCCATGAGGCTTTGACAGGGTGCAAACTCGGGGAAGGTGTGCGTGATTTGGGCTGTAGTATGGATTAATGAACTGACTTCCTGTGATTTTTTTTCCTTAAATTAAAAAATGTTTTCTAGATTGATTAGGACACTCACTTGATAGAAATGTGCACTTAAAAAGTTAATACTTTTCCCTTTTCTTTAAGTACCTGGTGATGGATGTGCAGCTGATGGTAGGTGGGCACCATCATTCTTACCTGAATCCTGAAGAGTATGTTTTTGCTGCTCTGAACATCTACTTGGACATCATCAACCTTTTCCTTTTCATTTTGCAACTGATTGGGTTGGCACGGTAGTCATGTAGTCAAGAAATGCTTGATGATGCTTATCCTAACCTTAGGTCCCTGTACAATTAACAGAACTCAACTTAATTACAGAAAGGATAGGGGGAAAAAAAAGAAATGCTTGAGCAAAAGAGAGGCAAAGAGTGTCTCCAAGCTCAGGCATCAGGAGGACACTTCAAAAAACCTTGTACTTAAAAAAAAAAAATACATTGAGAATGCTTTAGCTTTATTTTTTTTCTCAGATGAAGGCAAATGTTGAGTAGATGGCAGTTGGAACTGTTTGTTACATAATTCCATTTTTGTCACATAGCAACCCTTTCTGTGGGCCTTTTCTACTTTGTATAAATTCAAGAGATGAGTATATCTTTTGAAATCTTCTGAAAGATTCCCACTGCTTTGTTGGAGTTAATTTTTGTTTGTTTTTCTCTTTCTGGGTACTACTTAATGTAAATCACATAGATCTATAGTAATAAAATTAATTCTAGAAATCTACATTTATTCCCTTCTCTTGATTTAGACATTTTGTGGGACTGTTTTGACAACCATTATTTTTCCCCCCCCTAAAGAGTAAGATGAACCAAAGAATTCTTCCTCTCTCTAGGCTCCTAGACTTAGACTGGAGAAAATAACATTATCGTATGGACTCAGCTTTGGTGGCCTAGTGGTAAGAAGCTGGCCTGAAATCCCTGAGGCAGATAATTGGAATCCACCTGCTGCTCTGTGGGAGAAGGATGGGCAATTTCCTCCCATGCGATTAACTGCCTCTGAAAACCCTCTAGAGGGTCAGCAATGGATAAATTTCGACTCAGTGGCACACAACAAATGGTGCATTCCTGATAGGACAGGAGAAGCCCTAGTAGTGCAGTTGTTATAGCTTTCTCCTGGTACCCATAAAATTGGTAGTTTGAACCCAGCAGCTGCTCCATGGGAGAACGATATGTCAGTAAGCTTCTGTAAACATCTTTCAGAAGTCCCTGTGGCAGTTGACTTCTGTCTGTAGTGTGGCTGTGACTGAAGTGAACCTGTTGGTAATGGGTTTGGGTTTGGGCTGGTAAGTTGTGAGAGGGTTCGTGGAGTGCATGTTCACGAAGAGCTCAGCACAGAGCATCGTTAGCTGCTCTTGCAACTGTCCCACCTGGACTTCTAGACTCAGCTCAAATACCACCTCCTCCGATCAATTGAGCAATCGTGGGAACAATGGGCCTCTTTAGAAGTCTCACGGAGTCCGCCCGTGACACAGACAGGTGTTCAGGTGCTAACTGGAAGTTAGATGATTTGAACGCCCCCAGAGGCGCCTTGGAAGACAGGCCTTGATGATTTGCTTCCAATTTTTTCCTTGAAAACCTTACAGAGCTCAGTACACATCACTGATACGGCCCACGGTGGCATGGATGAAATTTATGCATTGTTGTTAGATGCCATGGAGTCAAATATGACTTACAGCAGCCTA